TCGCAGCACTCGGGACACTCCCATAAGCTCCCCATCCCCATCTTCGGCAGCAAGCGAAGAGTTCAAATTCCGATGGTACTAGTAACTGTCTGACTGTACACCCGTCTCGCCTGTCCCTTGAGACCCCCTGGTAACTCCCCGCAGCGCCATACTCCTCAGACCATAAGGATCTGTTTGTGCCTCCGCACTGTACACTCGCTCCCTAAGGACCCTCGCGAGATTTAACTTGCCATAATCAGTTCACCACCATGTGGTGCCGAACCAGCCAGCCTATCTGCCTGCACGTTTCCCAACGCACCAGCATGCTGGAGAAAAGATCCAAAAGACGCTGACTACCTGTTAACCCCGTTCTAATGCGCCGTAGGTGTGAAAAGGTTGAGAAATACTGTCTTAGACAATTTTGTGGGAGAACAAATCTTACGCAAATAAATATTATATGCACTTTTTTAATATGTAAGAAAAATAGTTGCATGTATTCTTTTTTAAACATTCTTGAATATTCCCCGTCTGAGTTCTGTAGATCCATTGGGGGGGGGGGGGGGGGGGGGGGGGGGCAAGATAATAGACCCACTGCCCCACCAGCTCAATAAGCACGTTATCGAAGCCGATTTCTTCCAATACGGAGTATGTTACCCGAGAGGCGAGGAATCAACAGTATGCTAAAAATGTAAGGTAGATCTGTCAAACGAATGTGCACTCAAAACTCAAATTCTGCATCAAGACCAAAGTCTAGAAGTGGACGAATAACCAGAACGTTCTGCCGGAGTTTGCAGCCGGTGAACGAAAAAAAAAAAAAGAAGAAGAAGAATGTGCTCGCGGGAAAAAAATAAAGATGAAGAAAAAGAAAAAGAAATATGGCTAGAACAAAATGTAATAGTTTCCCGCTGAAAAGCAAAAACAGGAAAAGTAAAGAAAAGACAAGGGTTCTTCCATGCAGGGGCCACGAAATATTTCACCATAGCGCTGGCGATGAAAATGTGAGTTACACAGCTACAACAAAATGTGACTACACTCCTAGACCAACCACGTGCACGGACTACAAATTCTAAATTGAATCAAGCAAATTATTCATACTTTTCACATTCAACATCTGTTTATTTCCTGAACACAGAATAAACGTATACTTATAGAAAACATTACACTAACAACCATCTACGTGCTCGACCAGAATCTAAAGTGCTAATTATCTCCAGTTACAAAGGAAATGGGATAATGAACGCATACGTTCTGAAAAATTACATCAGTGAAGGAAAAAAGCGAAACACATAAACTCGTGCGTTGAACTTCAACACACCACCAGATCTGTAAATCGCTCAATAGCGACCAGCAATCAACCTATCTGCAGACTAGAAATCTAAGTCTACGGTTTAACTACTAGAGAAAATGTATATCTAAGCGAAACTAACCATAGAATACACCACCGCCATATTCACCCAGCCAGACTATCTGGGCCCGGTCAGTCGCATCTGCGCCGCGACAAGACCACGTGCGATCAACATCACAAACACTGGGCAACTGACCGAGCGCAAGAAACACACCCAGAGAGGTGTGTGTGTGTGTGTGAGAGAGAGAGAGAGAGAGAGAGAGAGAGAGAGAGAGAGAGAGCAGCACAGTACAAGTCTTTTTTTTTAATAGATTCTGCCCTCCTGCATACCAGATTCTTCCGCCAGTCAATACAGCTGGATTTTCTACCTCGTCGCCGTCCGGCTACAAGAAGAAGCAGGTATTAGGATATGTTGAGCAATACATATACATATATACATACATAGTTTGTACATCATTTAGATTATTCCGGAATAGGTATCTGTCACACATTTTAGATAGGTTCAGCTCTCTGTCTCTGTCTACCCCTTTCTAATTAACACAGCCATGTCCAAAAGAAGAAGAACAAGAAGAAGAGAAAGAAGAAGAAAGAAGATAAGAGACGAGAAGAGAAGAAAAGAGGAGAGAAGATACGAGAAGAAAAGAGGAGAGAAGAGAAGAGAAGAAGAAGAAGAAGAAGAAGAAGAAGAAGAAACAGAAGAAGAAGAAACAGAAGAAGAAGAAGAAGAAGAAGAAGAAGAAGAAGAAGAAGAAGAAGAAGAAGAAGAAGAAGAAGAAGAAGAAGAAGAAGAAGAAGAAGAATTATTTCACAATTAATATCCTCTCGCTATTCCCCCCTCTCTCTCTTTCTCTTTCTCTCTTTCTCTCTCTCTCTCTCTCTCTCTCTCTCTCTCTTTCTCTCTTTCTCTCTTTCTCTCTCTCTTTCTGTGTGTGTGTGCTCGTGTGTGTGTGTTTACTATAGATGGCACACTGTAATCAATAAACGTGTACTAAGTTTCCGGGTGCTCTAAAAGTACACCTCTCCTTACACTTTGTCACAATTCGGGATCCATTATGTTCAGAAAGTTCTCGTCAATTGTTTACCTCCTATGCTGAAAATTCTCGGTTACCCACTCGCCGTTCTTTGTTAGACATAAGACGCAGAAGTTTGCATACAGCAAAGTCATTCGTTGGCGTATACTTTCCATAACTTTGCCGTTGTATTCTCACTCGGCTTAGTTACTCAGGACAAACTGTAGCGATCAGCTACGCTCGGCGAATCCTTGGTAACCGGTCTAAACATTTGTGTTCTTTAGATCTGGGTTCAACGCTCTAATTTAAGAGTCCAGCGGATTATAAAACTGGATACGTTGAGATTGCTGTTTAAGTGACTTCGTCATAGCGGATGGTAAAAAACTGGGAGAAATGGATTTATAGTGTTCAGTGTTCGAAGTGACTAGGGCTTTTCTTTCTGGAGGTACGCTACGGTACACAATACTGGCACCTTTTCAAGCATAATTTTTTTTTTTAGCGCTGTTGTAATAGACAATTTACAGTAAGTACCGGCACTATTTAGTGAGTACCGGCACCTTTATTTTTTACAGAAAGGTCCTTATACGTTTGTACCTTAACCTATTCAGTACCCAGTGAATTATCCTGCGTGTATTGTAATTCCTCACCCAAAAATATATATATATATATTGCAATTGCCTTTCCTCTAAATCAACCACCCTCTTTTCTTTTTCATTTCTTCTTTTTTTCTTCTTTCTTGTGTCATCAGGTTGTAGTCCTGTGTCGTGGTTTCCTGCATTTGTCCTCCGTTTCTCGGGTGGTTTGGATGATGGATTTGTTCAATTTTTCTTTTTATGTTTCGGCTACGCCAACTACCCGTCTTGTTGTTGGTCTTCTCCTGACTTCCACCCAAATGTTCTGCTGTATTAAAATGGCTTTTACAGTTTTGTTGTGCACGTAGTTTTCTGTAACTGTCTGGCGCTGCTGTGATGGATGTGACACACCCGACTTTTGTGGGTATATGTTTATCTGCTTAACTTTCAGGAGGTGGGATATTTCATAGTAAAGTAAAACGCCCTTTTCCACTCTCTCAGGCGAATTGGACATATAGGGTGAGGTGGTCAACATCACGCCGGTGGCGTTTACTTCCCATTACTTTACTTTATACCCACTCAAAGCCAGGTCGACCTGGGAGCCAACGTCATTTTTTTTAAAACAAAAGTCCGGTTTATCGTAGTTTCAAACCACAACCTTTCACACGGAACGTGTATTTGTAACCTTCTGATCCACAAGCCAACGTCTAGCCGTTACACCAGGGTGGCTCCCGAGGTTAGTGATAGTGTAGTTCAGTTTATAACAAATATTGTTATTGTGACAGACCTGGTGTCGTGCAATATACAAGTTAGATAAGCTGGATATATGGTAGAATGTTATTGTCAGTTTTATTCGAGAACATGTTATCATAATCGATGCCAAGTTGTGCCATTATGTGTCACTTAGGGCTCACAATCGATTATCTCATTCCATTCCTTTCCTATTTTTTCTACTTTGTTCACCAGCTATAAGCTCTGACAGAAAGTTCTGGTTGTTCGTCCAATTAGACTTTGGCTTTGTGTCTTCTTCTTCTTCTTCTTCTTCTTCTTCTTCTTCTTCTTCTTCTTCTTCTTCTTCTTCTTCTTCTTCTTCTTCTTCTTCTTCTTCTTCTTCTTCTTCTTCTTCTTTTTCTTCTTCTTCTTCTTCTTCTTGTATTACTACTACGACTGTTGCTTCTTCTTCTTCTTCTACTTCTTCTAAAACTACAACTACTACTACTACTTCTCCTACAACAACAACAACAACTACTACTACTACAACTACTACTACAACAACAACAACTACTACTATTACTACTTGTACTACTATTAATACTACTACTTCTATAACTATTACTACTACTACTACCACTATTACTACTACTTCTACTACTACAACTACTACTACTACTACTATTACTACTACATCTACTACTACAACTACTACTACTACTGCTAATACTACTACAACAACAACAAGTACTATTGTTACTACCTCTACTACTACTATTTCTATAGCTACTACTACTACTACTACTACTACTACTACTACTACTACGACTACTACTACTAATACTACTACTACTATTACTACTACATCTACTACTACTACTATTACTACTACTACTACTACTACTACTACTACTACTACTACTACTACTACTACTACTAATACTACTACTACTATTACTACTACATCTACTACTACTACTATTACTACTACTACTACTACTACTACTACTACTACTACTACTACTACTACTACTACTACTACTACTACTACTACTACTACTACTACTTTTCGCCTTCTTTTTCTTCTTCTTTTTTTTTTCCCCCGCAATATCGGAGCACTCAACTCACGCCCAACCTAATTACTACTTGTCATCTCTTGCATTTTCCTTCATGCCTTCTCCATAATTATTAATTTGTCTTTCTTTCTGTCACTGTCTTGAATCTGTCTTTTTTATTGCTCCTGTATGTTTTAGAAACATATTTTCTATTTATTTGGTTCGAATGGGGTATTAAATATATAAATTTCAAGTCAAATGACAGTTCTGTTTAATTTCAGATATATCAAAAAGCTAACTACAGTGCACAACTGACCACACTCTAAGTATGTCTCCCACTGTTAATTCCCAAGTTTATGAAACCAACAATCCTTCCATGTTTAACCCCCCATCAATTCGAAGGACATCATCCCAAAACACCAAACAAACTGACGCTAAAGACAAGGGGTTTTCCCAAGGTGACGCTAAAGACAAGAGGTTTCCTCAAGCTGACGCTAAAGACAAGGGGTTTCCTCAAGCTGACGCTAAAGACAAGGGGTTTCCTCAAGCTGACGCTAAAGGCAAGGGGTTTCCCCAAGCTGACGCTAAATGCAAGGGGTTGCCTCAAGGTGGCACCAAAGATAATTCTCCACCCAATGAGCGTGCCAGATTTAATTCAGCCGCACGCGATGTTGGGTGTATGGAACCAGGAGCTCGCGGTATGCCAGACAAAAAGTTTAACCAGGAGTTGAGTAAGTCTTCTCCCGACACGCTCACGCGTGGAAAAGCCACAGATTTTACAGTGAAACCTGGTTTACCTTCTGGAGCAGTTTCAGTTTTTCCCGCTTCTGCATCTCTTCCTAATGCTTCATCCAACTTTGGCGCGAAGGGGAAGGTATCCTTTCAAAACATAAACCTGACTAACAAAGAATCAATAAAACAACCAGGAATTAAAAACAATGAGAAAAACATGACAGGAACACTTTCTATAACACAGGCGGATTCGTACATCGGGGTCAACTGTGGCTCTAAATACAGGGATGGGGAAAAGTTCTCAATCTCTGAGCCATGTTTGTATTCACATCGGATGTTCATTAGAGCGGCCAAGATTTTCGAGTTTCTCAAGCAGGATGATGTGGATGGCGAAGAAGACGATGTCGGCGGTGAAAATGGCGGGTCTGAGAATGCGCAGAAAGGGGAGCTGCCAGAGTTAGATTTCGAGAACCCTCAGGAGCAGATGAAGACTTTTGAGCTGACGTTTGCAACGCTGAAATGTAAGTGCGATGTATGTGGTGTGTATGTATGTGCGTTTGTGTATATATGTGTGTGTAAATATGTGTATATACATGTTTGTGTATAAATATATATGTGTGTGTGTGCGTGTGTATATATATATATATATATATATATATATATATATATATATATATATATATATGCGTAAATATGTGTATATATATATATATATATATATATATATATATATATATATATATATATATATATATTTATATATGTGTGTTTATAAATATATATATATGTAAATGCGTGTGTGTTTATTTATAAGAAATAAGCAAAGAATTACAAAACATGCACTGATAAAAAGAGAATGTCCAAGGGAATCATTCAGAAGAACATTATTACGAGAGGCACAAAACGATGGGCTGAACTCAGTGACAGACATCAAGAGTTGCATGCAATAGCTCGGAGTCGAGGAATCGAATGCGAGCCCTTTATGACGTCTCACGGCACGCAAAGGATGGTGGATGTGTGTGTGTGTGTGTGTGTGTATTTATGTGTGTATTTGTGTGTGTATGTTTGTTTGTGTGGAGAGGGAGGATTTAAATGTAAATTGGGTAGCGTTATTTGAGTCAAAAATGAGTTAGACGTGAACACAAAAACGTCTTTTGCGTATATTGTGTGCGAGGTGTTCTATTTAAATATGAGGAAACGTATCTGTGTACTATATGGGAGATGAGTTAATTGTAAGTATGATAAGCGGTTTTTTTGTTTATTGTACAGGTTATGAGTTAATTGTCAGTGTGACAATTCTGGTGTTGTAAACGGACGGTGGATTCAGTACTGCAAAACTCCACTGTACGTAGAATTATATAATCTCCTTTCTCTCAGGGCATGCAGGTAGTGATTGCATGGAAAGATCTGACAGACTAGCTGGCTAGAGTAATGATGGATTGATCGGTTTGTTCCCTCCAGGCTGTACCCCAAAGGTATACAAATCTGAGACATGCAAATTAAAATCTAAATCTGGATGGTATAGACTAGTAAAACAGATCACAGATGCCCGTTCAACTTTCAAAAAAGTTATAATAAGGGCATATGTAAAGGCTAAACATCAGGAGTGCATAATCTGCATGATCTGCTAGTGCAGATAAGGACGACTTGGAGTAAAGATCAGCACAGCCAGGCACGAGAGGAACACTAGCCGTACGAAAGTTATCGTGAATCAACATAGGACAGGCACTCTCAGCACGACTCTGGTGCGTATGCCGTTCGAAAGTTATCGTGAATCAACATAGGACAGGCACTCTCAGCACGACTCTGGTGCGTATGCCGTTCGAAAGTTATCGTGAATCAACATAGGACAGGCTGGTGCGTATGCCGTTCGAAAGTTATCGTGAATCAACATAGGACAGGCACTCTCAGCACGACTCTGGTGCGTATGCCGTACGAGACTTGTCGTGAATCAACATAGGACAGGCACTCTCAGCACGACTCTGGTGCGTATGCCGTACGAGACTTGTCGTGAATCAACATAGGACAGGCACTCTCAGCACGACTCTGGTGCGTATGCCGTACGAAAGTTATCGTGAATCAACATAGGACAGGCACTCTCAGCACGACTCTGGTGCGTATGCCGTACGAAAGTTATCGTGAATCAACATAGGACAGGCACTCTCAGCACGACTCTGGTGCGTATGCCGTACGAAACTTATCGTGAATCAACATAGGACAGGCACTCTCAGCACGACTCTGGTGCGTATGCCGTACGAAACTTATCGTGAATCAACATAGGACAGGCACTCTTAGCACGACTCTGGTGCGTATGCCGTACGAAACTTATCGTGAATCAACATAGGACAGGCACTCTCAGCACGACTCTGGTGCGTATGCAGAAGGGAGTTTTTGAGACCTATGGAAGTGTACAGAAACAGAACACGAAAAGGAAGAAGAAGCGTACTGATCCAGCATAAACTAGTTCCATGTATCCAATCCAACATTTAATAAACAACCCTGGTGTGTGTGTGTGTGGGGGGGGGGGGGGGGGGGGGACAAGAATTGACCCACTGTCACACAATCATTTCTCTTGGTCTGCCTCTGCCTCTTCTATCAGTGATCTTTTTATTCGTCATGATATTTACCAGTGCTCCTTTTCTCATCACATGGCTAAAGTACTTTGTCTCCTTCTCATTGTTGTATACAATGTTCTACTTTCATTTCCAAGCACTCGTTCTTAGTTATTCTGGCAGTCCAAAGTATTCGCATCATTTTCTCATGAACCACATCTTAGTTGCCTCCAAACTCTTCTTAATTTGTCTGCTCACATTTCAAGATCCACTATGAAAAACAGAATAGTCTCAATGTAACATTTCAGTACGCAAAAAATGCTATGATTTATAATGTTTATAATTATTATTAATTCTTCTGTAGAATAAAAAAAAAGGGGTGATAATAATGTTCATTGACTATTCTTCATGGCCTGAGAGTCGGCTAACTGGGGAGCTTCCTTCGAAGTCAGAGTACATATGCCCAAGAAGCAAGGAAGCAGAGGAGTGTATACAACTAATCTGGATCAGTAAAACGGATGTGCATGCAACACCCAGGTTCTGAAACAAAGCTAACGTCCACAGATGGATCAACATCCAAACTTTCCGCTGGACTTAACACCTGTGGGTGAACGCGAAGAAGAAACAGAGAAAGAAGAACCTAAAAAAAAAAAACGGACTATAACATAATGAAATGGTAAAATATTATAGAATACCTCTAACGGTGTTAGTTAATCAAAGCCTAACCTTTACAAGTTCCTTAATTTCCAAATCACAACGAGACCGAATTTTTCTATCACTAATTGCTTCGTCAACCGCCATGTTTACCGTCTCCATTGCAGCTTATTAGTCTAATTTCCATTGTCAACATTACTTTGAATAGAACACAGAGACCTCCCTAGCCCTGCGAGCTGTTTGTTTTCTTGCCTAAATTGATCCAGCTCTGTGATGAATGATTCCTTTCAAGAGATTTTCTAGTGGTCGTCAATGTTTGCCAAACAATCTTCAACCTGGTGATATCCGTGACGTGGCCAGATTTAGCTTGTGTGTCTTGATTTGGCCTCTGGGTCCAGATTAGGTCAATGATTACAGGACAAAAGTCCTGTTTTATATTTTTATTGAACTTGTTCAAAGTTAACAATGTTTTAGGTCTTGTTGAGCTGTTACAGTAGTGTTGGCAGAGCTTGTCGTTGTCGTCGTCGTCATCATCATCATTATCTTCTTCTTCTTCTTTTTCTTGGCCGGCAATTATTAGGTCTAATGTAAAAAAAAAAAAGGTAAAGTCTGGAGATAGTGAACCAGCGTCATTGCACACGGTTATAAACCATAAGTGCTCTGCCACCAGTACGGACAGCTGATAAGAACTGTCCGCCTGTGTCGCCGTTCGCACGTAACTCTGTAGCTACAGCGACGTTCCTTCATTTACCCCAACTCTAGTACCCATTTCCTAGAGGCTGGGTGAACCCCGGGAACAGCCCGGTGTCGAACACCGACCGTGGCTGCAGCGAGTCGCAGCTGTATTTGAAAGCGAGCCTCTTATCGACTGCGCTAACGCGGCCCCTTAATGTAAATTGTATTCATCCTTTGTTTTATGTATAAAATTAGTATTCAAACTGTTCTACTCGTTTTTCTGTCGCTGATGTGTGACGAAGGTGGGCTGGGTGGGGGCGGCCATTCGTTGCCACTAATTGGAGATCAATGCATTTTCAGTGACAAGAAAATAGTCTTATTCATCGTAACCTCAGAAGGGAACAGAAGAAGAAAAAGAAGAAGAAGAAGAAGAAGAAGAAGAAGAAGAAGAAGAAGAAGAAGAAGAAGAAGAAGAAGAAGAAGAAGAAGAAGAAGAAGAAGAAGAAGAAGAAGAAAAAGAAGAAGAAGAAGAAGAAGAAGAAGAAAAGAAGAAGAAGAAGAAGAAGAAGAAGAAGAAGAAGAAGAAGAAGAAGAAGAAGAAGAAGAAGGAAATGAAGAGAATGGAGAGAATGAGAACAACAAACAACAACAGTGGGCCACAGTGTCTTTATTTTTATTTACAATACAAAATCTCCGCTACATAAATTTTCCACAAGAAAAACTTCCCAAACGACAGCAACCCTATTTCAAATAAAACAACCTATCTTTTGCAAAGGGTAAAATTATCAGGGAATATATCTCGATCATACACCGCTAGTTTCGCCACTGTCAGTGTCCCTGTTGAGTTATCGTGGTTATGTCTATGAATATGTCAATATCATTAAACAAACGTAGACACTCGACGCAAGTTATGCCTATGTTATTGTACAGCGAGAGGTCGGCGTTAGTGTATAGATATGATATTGAGAAAGTGTGCCTGCCATAGAATGCCCTGTTTTTGTCACAGGAAATCGATAAAATTCTATAGGTCACGTGATTTTTAATGAATATTGCAGATGTAGGCTATATGTTGTTTGTTTTGAGTCTCGCTAACATTGTGGCTAGACGTTCGCCTACCGGCTCAATGGTTTTGAGTTCAAATCTGTATCTCCGTGTGGGTTCCGGGGCTCCATCTTAGAAAACAAAGATAAGACCCACTGAGTGTCATCGTCCCACAACTCAGTCCTATCCATGCAGGACAAGAATACGCAAGCGAAGCGTTCACTCTGTCACGATTTTTTACTGTTGGGAATTCATCTGACTGAACTGTATGTCAACCATCAGTCATCCAAGTATAACAACGGACCGTCACTATTTTATACACCGTCCTATACCCGCACAAAACCCTGACAGGTTGGTTGGTTCGCTCATTGACTGTATAGTTAGTTGGTTGGTTTGTTGGTTGGCTCATTGATTGTATAGTTGGTTGGCTCATTGATTGTATAGATGTTTGGTTGGATTGTTGATTGTATAGTTGGTTGGCTCATTGATTGTATAGTTGGTTGGCTCATTGGCTGTATAGTTGGTTGGTTGGTTTGATGGTTGGCTCATTGATTGTATAGTTGGTTGACTCGTTGATTGTATAGTTGGTTGGCTCATTGATTTTATAGATGTTTGGTTGGCTCGTTGATTGTATAGTTGGTTGGCTGATTGATTGTATAGTTGGTTGGCTCATTGGCTGTATAGTTGGTTGGCTCATTCATTGTATAGTTATTTGGTTGGCTCGTTGATTGTATAGCTAGTTGGCTCATTGATTATATACTTGATTGGCTCGTTGATTGTATTGCTGGTATGTTGGTTGGATAGTTGGCTCATTTATTGTAGTTGTTTGGTTGGGTGGCTCATTTATTGTATGTTTTTTTTTTTTTTTTTGGTTGGTTGGCTCATTTATTGTATAGTTGGTTGAAACGTTCATTGTATAGCTGGCTGGTCGGTTGTATGGTTGGCTCATTGATTGTATAGTTGACTGGTTGATGATTGGATGGTTGGCTCAATGACTGTATAGCTGGTTGTCTCATTGACTATATAGTTGGTTGGCTCGTTGATTGTATAGTTGGTTGGCTCGTTGATTGTATAGCTGGTATGTTGGTTGGATGGTTGACTCATTCATTGTATAGTTTTTTGGTTGGTTGGCTTATTTATTTAATAGTTTTTTGGTTGGTTGGCTCATTTATTGTATAGTTGGTTGAAACGTTCATTGTATAGCTGGCTGGTCAGTTGTATGGTTGGCTCATTGATTGTATAGTTGACAGGTTGATGATTGGATGGTTGGCTCAATGACTGTATAGCTGGTTGTCTCATTGACTGTATAGTTGTTTGTCTGGTTGACTCTTTGATTGTAAAGTTGGTTAGCTCGTTGATTGTATAGCTGGTGGGTTGGTTGGATGGTTGGCTCATTTATTGTATAGTTGGATGGTTGATTGTATAGACAGATGGCTCATTGATTGTATTGTTGGCTGGTTGATGGTTGGATGGTTAGCTCATTGATTGTATAGTTGGCTGGGTGATGGTTGGATGGTTGGCTCAATCACTGTATAGTTAGTTCGCTCGTTGATCGTATAGACAGTTGGCTCATTGATTGTATGGCAAGTTGGCTCCTTTACTGTATAGTTGGTTGGCTCATTGAGTATATAGTTGGTTGGCTCCGTGATTGTATAGTCCGCTAGATGTTTTGTTAGTCAACTAGTTAATGAATTGGTTAGTTTTTTTAAATAGTTGATTAATTATTCAGGTAACTAGTTAGCTAGTAGGTTGTTTACTTAGTTTATCGCAGTTCCACCTTCACAGCAAAAGGGTCACCCCGTAAGCGTTTCATCCCTTTGCCAGCGTACACCACCACTCAGAGGAAAAAACTGAATAGGCTGCAGTTTAGGAGATACCAAAAGCATACAACCGCATTAAAAACATAAGGTAGTTGCCAGAAGCTGCAACACAAATAGTTTGCCACTAGAATTGCAATTCATCGTTGATGGAAGCAGCACTTACAACAAATCAGCAGCTGCACATATAATATTGCCCAAGGCACCACCAGTTCCGTGGCAACTGACCACCCACCTTAACTTACAACTCCTAGTATCCTACCATGCACTCAGCTTAGTAGCTGAACTATATACTATCTACTCACATTCGGGGAAATGCAACAGTCAACAGGAATGAGAAGCAAATTCTTTGGTTCGCCCTGCTGGATGCAAGTTTCTGGATGCATTGTTCTATTGGTCGTTGCTAGCTGGTTGCCACATTTATATCTAGGATGGATGGTTGGTTGGTTGTTTGACCGGTAGGTTGGCTGCTTTGTAGGAAAAGAAAGAATATAAGCAAAATAAGAAGAAGAAGAAGAAGAAGAAGAAGAAGAAGAAGAAGAAGAAGAAGAAGAAGAAGAAGAAGAAGAAGAAGAAGAAGAAGAAGAAGAAGAAGAAGAAAAGAAGATGAAGAAGAAGAAGAAGAAAATGAAGAAGAAGAAGAAGAAGAAGAAGGCGAAGAAGAAGAACAAGAACAAGAACAAGAACATGCCTATTCCAAAGGGTTGGTTCTAGGTTGACACTTTTGTAGATGTTTTATGTATTTCATTGCACCCCCCCTCCCCCCCCCTTCCCCAATAATTAGAGAAATATTTCTTGTATTAATTCCGGTCTTGTCTGGATTATTCAAGTTCTATCAATTATGAAAACATTATTAATCTCATTTCATTGGTATTCTAAAGGGTTTTCTAACACATACAATTCCATTTAAGAATTTAAATATAAAATATATCAGTACCCGTGTCCATTCATAGCCGCACACGCCCTATTCAACTACAATTTGATATACACGATTAAAGTATACAGAATGGAACCTCCTTAACTGAATTACGGGTGATCGAGGTTTAAACACGTAAAAGGACAAATATGACAGGTGTTCATAATTACTGCAGATTGAATACCGCCCTTAAAAACTCGTGTAACCTAGGACTTCATTTGCGGCGTCTTTCTGTAAACTTGCGGTATTTTTTGGGTGAATGTGCTGTGTCTTCGGTAAATCAAATGTAGAACATGGAAGAATTCTTGCGTAATGTTATGACTGAGTTTGTTCGTTGTGCGTGCGTAATCTGTCGTTACGTCTTAATTGAATTTTTTTTTTCGGATTTAATTAAACGCATAGCTCTTTCCTATAATGTAAAAAAAAAAAATGATGATCATTATCAAGTGCATTGCCAGCTGGCGTAGACTTTCACACAGCTCCACTGATCTCTGTCTTAATCCACCCACCATCATTTCTCTTGGTCTGCCTTTGCCTCTTTTACCAGTCGTCTTTCAAGTCGTCACGATATTTTCCAGTGCTCCTTTTCTCATTACATGACTAACGAATTTTGTTTGTCTTTTTCTCATTGTTGTATATAATGTACTACTTTCATTAGCCATTTCCAGGCAGTTACTGTAAGTTATTCTGACAGTCCAAGGTATTCGCATCATTTTCTCATGAACCACATCTCAGTTGCCTCCAGACTCTTCTTGATTGTCTGCTCACATTTCAGATTCACTAAAATAAAATAGAATAGGATCGATGTAACATTTCAATACTAAATAAACAATATGATTTATTATTTTTATTATTATTATTATTAATATTTCTTCTGTAGAACAAAAGGAAGGCATGATGATAATGTTCATTGTGTACCAATTCCAGCACTTTTATTTTAACTAGAAAAAATACTAGACAGTTTTTATGTTCAACAGTTTTCCCATTGATTCCTGAGCCATTAGGATCTTAACACAATTGTAGAAATTAAGACAAAGCGGGCTGCTACCCAGTCGACCCCAGCTGGAATTAAACCAGGTATCTCAGAATTACGAAGCGCATTCACAACGCCTGAGCCACTGACGCAGATAACAACACGCAGATAATAGAAAAGAAAGAAAGAAACAAACAAAAAATAAAGAGGAAAAAAAGAATGCCAAGAAGGAGGAGAATCTCATCCCTCACCTCCCCCCCCTCCCCACTTGTACTCCCACCCTCACTCAGTCGCGCGCGCACACACACAAACACACACACACATCATATTAATAATGAGAAGTCAACAGCCTTCAATTACCAAGTCAATGCTTATATAATATGACCCGTTACTGATTCAATTGTCATTTTCAGATCAGAAATTGTTTCGGGGGATTCTGGAGCATTCCGGATTTTTCACAGACTACCCTTGTGTAAGTGTCATGAATGCCGTTTTTATTTGTGTGTCTCTTCCGTTGTCAGTATGTCTGTCTTTTAATCAATCTCTATGTATGTAAATATGTCTATCTATTTGTCTGCCTCTGTTGTCTGCATTTATGCCTTTTCTATGTATGTTTATGTTGTCTTATAGGTTCGGGTACTAACCCAGCCGGACTTTTTTCTTAAAATGACTATGGTTCCCAGGTCGACCCAGCCTTAAGTGGGTACCAGGTACAAGTCGTGGGAAGTAGAGGCGGCCGGCGTGATGTTGACCATATCTCCCGCTGAGTGGTCTATAAAATAAGTCTAGCCCTGTAGTAAACTTGTTTCTGTTGCGAAGCGCTGTCGTCATCTGGAGGTGACAGGTTCGATTCTCAGGTTGATAGCTTTAGCTTTCAATTTTCATGGTGGCTAGTGTGTCTTTCCGTCTTTTTACTTCTTTCTGTGAGTGCTGATGACTGCACGTTTATGTATTTATTAAATCTGCTGTCTGTCTACATGTCTGTCTATATGTCTGTCTATATGTCTGTCTATATGTCTGTCTATATGTCTGTCTATATGTCTGTCTATATGTCTGTCTATATGTGTCTCTATATGTCTGTCTATATGTCTGTCTACAGGTCTGTCTATATGTCTGTCTATATGTCTGTCTACATGTTTGTCTATATGTCTGTCTATATGTCTGTCTACATGTCTGTCTACACGTCTGTCTATATGTCTGTTTCTTTGTCTATATTTGGTGTCAGTGTGTGTCTATTTCATTTCCTGTCCATGTTGTCTTTATATAAATCTGTATCTCCGTCACTGCTGTATGTAAGGCTATATCTGTCTATGTATATGTTTCCTGTTTGTAAGTCTGTTTCTCTATTGGTCTATGTATGGTGTCTGATATATAAGTCAGTTTGCTTCCTGCAGCCTGTGTCTGTTTTTTTTTATCTATTCCACTGTCTGTCTCTCTGTGTGCATCTTCCTTTTTAAGAGAAAGAGTATATATTGTCTGCATATCTTGCGCTGTAATAAATTAATGATGATGATATAGAAAGAAAGAAGAAGAAGAAGAGAAGAAAGGGAAAGAAGAAAGAAGAAGAAGAAGAAGAAGAAGAAGAAGAAGAAGAAGAAGAAGAAGAAGAAGAATCGAAAGAAGGAAGAAGAAAAGAAAGAAGAAAGAAAGAAGAAGAAGAAGAAGAAGAAGAAAGAAGAAAGAAAGAAAAAAAAAAAAAAAAGAAAAGAAAAAAAAAGAAAGAAAGAAAGAAAGAAAGAAAGAAAGAAAGAAAGAAAGAAAGAAAGAAAGAAAGAAAGAAAGAAAGAAAGAAAGAAAGAAAGAAAGAAAGAAAGAAAGAAAGAAATTTTTTTTATGAACCCCATGAATTTATGATGACAACTGCAATAATACCTAGACCGACATATGATTTTATATCGCCAATTAATCTTGTATTGAACTGAGAAGAAGCCATTGACAAGTCGGTCTGAGATAGGGCTTTTCTGCATTCCTCGGCGCCCTTGCCCGCTGTGATGTCGACTCATTTATTGCCTTTTGTGGCAAAGCGGATTTCCCGATCAGGAATTTCTGACGTCTGCGTCTCCGGTTGGATGTCCCCCTCTTTGTGACTGATTGATTATCTGACTGCTTATCTAATATATTTGTCAGCTTTTTGGTGCTTCCATTCATTCCTGGCACGTCCGCGCTCTCACTCGTCCACCTAATGCATACATTTCCATCCATTTTTTCATCCATCCACACATCCGTTTATCTCTATCCGTCCATGAGGGCATTTATCCATTCGTCTGTCCATTTATATTATTACATCCATTCACCCATTAACTTAAACCAGGGGACGCGTTAGTGCAGTCGATTAGAGGCTCGCTTTCAAATCCAGGTGCGACTCGCTGCAGCCCACGGTCGGTGTTCGAAACCGGGCGGTTCCCTGGGTTCACGCAGCCTCTGGGAAATGGGTACCAGAGTTGACACTCTGGGGTAAATGGAGTAACGTCGCTGTAGCTACAGTGTTACGTGCGAACGGCGACACAGGCGGACAATTCTTATCAGCTGTCCGTACTGGTGGCAGAGCACTTATGGTTTATAACCGTGTGCAATGACGCTGGTTCACCTCTACCGACTTTCACTTTACCTTTTTTTTTTAATTAACTCAAACCGCGGTCGTCCTTCTGTCTGCCAGTATGTTTTTTCTACCGTTTTATCCACCTGGTTATATGTTTATTTTTAGATATTAAGTCTGAGTTTGTTATCTGTCTAACTGACTCTCTGCCTGCATATCTGCTACCTATCCCATTGATCTCTTTTCCAAAATTTTCCAGAAGTAAAAAACAATGACTTCCAGATCAAATCTGTGACCAGCCATATTATACCGGCTAGACGCTCGCCTGTGGATCGGAGGGTCGTGTGTTCAAATCCTGACAGAGCCGGTCATTTTTCATCAATGACCTTGACTCCCAGGACAACCCTTAAATTGGCACTAGGTAAAGTCCTGGAAATTAAAGGCGTTCGGTGTGATGTGACCATGTCACCCACCGAGTGCTGGTTGGTCTGTAAAATATAGGTAAATCCCTGTATGTCCAGCACGCCTGAAGGCGGAAAATGTCCTTTAGTTTACCATCTCAAATCAAAACGCCTTTCATCGTCATCATAAAGCAGTTCCCATCACAGCCCCCTCCCTCCACCCATTACCCCCTCTCCCGCCCCCATTTCCTTTCAAGAGATTAAATGCACGAGCCTCTAGGTTCGGGTGTTCCTGGTAACCTCTTAAGTACAGAGACACATAAAATACTTATACACGGTACAAACAGTTGCTTTGCTTGGCCAGTGTGAAACATTCGAAAGGAACGTTAATATTTATGCTTGATTTATTAATCCACGTTAGCCGGAACAAAGTTGTTTTTTTTAAACCAAAGTTAAGATAGCAAAACTCATAAATATTCTACTGCTTATTATTATCTTATAAACTTCAGTAACATTCGGCAGATTTATTCTGTGTGTGCGTCAGCCAAACAGGCTACTCAGACAACAGTAAGTGTATTTTATAGATCTGATTTGGCTTGGTTCTGGTAAAGATGTCAAGTAGGTAGAAGCTAGCCCGTCCTAATAGTGGCACAGATCCCATCTCTGTTCCCCATTTAAGTGCTTATTTTGGCAATTCTCTGTTCGTTTTTCATCAGGATATCGCCATCTTGTTTGTCATCAAACTAAGAATGCCAGTGGTTGTCCAGATTTTCTCTTATTTCTGTGCCTTTCGAGATTTCATACCATTTAATTTCTATCAGTTTCCTCTGGAATTTGTTCTCAAAGTTATTTAACAGTATATCCTTCTCTTTAGTGGTTTCCTTACTTTTACTTACATAGGTTTAACTGAAATAACTGTGGAGACACAAAATACGTAACTTGGTTTTAAAACAATATAACTTTGAATTCGGTCTATACTTCGATACAAAGGTGTGTGCCAGCGGGACATGAAAGATACAGGTATTTCTGTGAAATTTTTGGAAAAGGATGCCTTGGTCAGTCTTGTATGTAGTGGAGAATGTAGGGAAGGGGGTTTGCGTTTGAAAATAGTCAAGCCATTTTCCTTGAGTTCTGACGGTCTTGGGTTTGTCTAACCCCTGCTTTGTTGGTTCTGGAGTACAGGGTTTACAAAAACACCTAGGGATCTTCACCGGAGCTACGGAGTTCGTGTTTTGTGCGGCGCTCTAGATAAGCTGGCCGTTCTGTGGAGAGAGACAGGGCCATGTGGGATAAAACCACTGCAATGATGTTGAGCCTTTCAACTTTAATGTCTCTGAATGGATAAAGGCGAAACTGACTGCAGATTCTAGGCCAGCATTTGAGAAGAAGTGCGCTAAATAATGCTATGGCAATAATAATCTTAAAATCTTGTCCTCTGATTGTGGAAACTGTTGCTAATGCGAGCGGGTCTTGCTAGTCATACTCGCCCGCGCCGTGGAATGTAATGGGTTGTGGTTCTATTGCACAATATAGCAACACTATCGTCTGGAAAGACGAAAAGGTGCCAACACATAATTCAGCGTACACGCACACACACACACACACACATACATACATACATACATACATACATACATACATACATACATACATACATACATACATACATACATACATACATACATACATACATACATACATACATACATACATACATACATCCATCCATCCATCCATCCATTCGTCCGTCCGTCGTCCGTCCGTCCGTCCGTCCGTCCGCGCGTGCGTGCGTACATACATACATACATGCATGCTAGTCATACTCGCCCACGCCGTGGAATGTGATGGGTTGTGCTTCTATTGCACAATATAGCAACACTATCGTCTGAAAAGACGAAAAGGTGCCATCACATAATTCAGCGTACACGCACACATATACATACATACATACATACATACATACATACATACATACATACATACATACATACATACATACATACATACATACATACATACATACACACATGCATGCATGCATGCATGCATGCATGCATAATACATACATACATACATACATACATACATACATACATACATACATACATACATACATACATACATACATACATACATACATGCATGCATGCATGCATGCATGCATGCATACATACATACATACATACATACATACATACATACATACATACATACATACATACATACATACATACATACATACATACATACATACATACATACATACATACATACATACATACATACATACATACATACATACATACATACATACATCCGTCCGTCCGTCCCTCCCTCCCTCCGTCCGTCCGTCCGTGCGTGCTTGCGTGGGTGCGTGCGTACGAACGTACGTACGTACGTACGTAAGTACGTTCGTACGCACGCACGCACGCACGCACGCACGCATGCACGCATGCACGCACGCACACACGCACGCACATACACACACGCACACACACATACATCTATACATACATACATACATACATACATACA